ATGTCCCTAAAACTCCTTGTCTTCACGGTCTCCGTGTTAACATCATGCGCCTGACTTGAACAGGCACAGGTTTCACACTGCTTGTGTCAACATTAACGTCATCCGCCAATACAAAGGTCAGAGGTTCAATACACAAAAGGTTCGGAAATACCCGTAAACTGTAAACATATCAGGTAACCTGCGTACGTGCCCATGGCTTAAGTGTTCAGGCCAGGGCCTCTTCATGCATATGTTTTAACACAGTTTCCCAGGTAGCCTGGTTTTTCGTCGCCACCACTGCGTATTTAGGTGCTTAATTAGGTCCAGTGTTGTCTTTGATATAAGATCTTTCTACCATGTTGGGTCTTTTATGTGGTCTCGTGTTCGGGAAACCCCGCTGGTATACCTTAGGCCATATTTGCACAATCGTGAATGAAAGTACATGGGTGTGGTGAGTGACCCAACTAAACACAAGAATTCCCTATTCGCCGAAAGGTCTACTCTACTCTATTATTACCTTCGCCAAGAAGGTTATGTTTTCAGTAGCGTTTGTCTGTGTGTGTGTTGTTTGTGTGTGTGTGTGTGGTTTAGCAAGATAACTCAAGAAGCAGTGGATGGATTGGAATGAAACTTGGTAGGTAGGTAGGACTTCATTAGACCTAGAAATGATTAGATTTTGGGCCCCCTGGCGGCTTTCCTAGGTACTGCAGCTGAACTTCCGGTTTTGATATCTCATGTTCTGGACATGCTAGGGTCACGAATTTTGGTTGGTAGATAGCTCTTGGGGTAGGGAAGAAGTGACATGAGTTTGGGTCCCCTAGCGCCTTGTTCTGGAACTGCAGGAGCATTTGTTGAAAAAAATTGAAGGACGATAACTTAAGAACCGGTTGACGTATTGTCGTGATTTTTGGTATGTAGGTAGTTGAAGTGATGCTTGACATAATCAGATGGCAATTATGCAAATCAGGAGCTAATTTGCATAATTAATGAGGAAATTCTATAAATCTGATTTGTTCGATAATAGAACTATGAAACAGTTGTGACATCTACTTGAGAACGAGAAAAACATCTGAGGATATAGATTATGTAAATGAGGACCTAATTTGCATAATTAATGGCAAATTCTTATAATTCCATAGTTGTAACTGCTGCACCCCGAATTTCATACTTGCCACATTTGGAAGTTAAGTGAAGGTGAACATTAATAAGCATAATTTATTCAAATCATGACACCATTTGCATAATTTATGAGGAAGTGCTATAATAGCCTTTTTGTTATGATAAGGCTGTCATTGGGTGGAGAATATGATCAACTGATATAATCCATGCAAATGAGGCTCTTATTTACAAAATCAATGATTAAAATTGTAGAATTCGTCACCCGCAAGGGTTAACATCTTTTGGCGAAGGTATGAGATCGTGGAACTCTTGTTATGTACTGCGCAGTCCGATAGCCAGTCTCCGCAAGGGCTATTCCGTACCTCCTGCCCTTGGCGTTCGCCTCACGGAGTTTTTCACACACCCGAAACATTTTACTTCTGCTCTGTGTGGTATTAAAAAGATTGTGGAAAAACAAGACCTATCATGTCATCATTGTCTGCTGGTAAGAAACCACTTAAGGATAAGGCTGGTGCTGTCCTTGGTGCTGATCATGTCATTCCGCAGGTACCTGCTAGATGGTGCTTCAACACAGTATAGCCACTTCTAGATCGGCACGACTCACGGCAGATGCGGCAGTTACTAGTCCTCAACAGTCCTCAATAGACAACTATGGGTGTGGCTGATATGTATGTAGATATAGCGTATTGTGTGTGGAGGGGCTACAACCTGTCAACCATCACCCTGTATTCTGTTTGCTCAATATTTTACTTCTGCTGTATGTGGTAATGAAAAGATTCGTCACGAGTCATTGTAGATGCGGCAGTTATTGGTCCTCAATAGGCCTCAATAGGCAACTATGGGTGTGGCTGTTGTGTATGTAGATATAGAGTATTGTGTGTGGAGGGGGGGGGG